TTACAAAGTATTTTAAAGATATTTAATATTATATAACGGATTGCCATCTCCTCTGATTCTCAACCGGTATTCATTCTACTATATCGATTGCGACTATGGATATAATTAGTGTAGACTTTTTTTTATTTTTTATTTTAGACTTTTTGGGTACCATGAGTTTTCTGAAGTGTCAGTTCACATTTGCAAACAAAAAGATGTGCAGCAGTCTTCCGGTTTCCGACATGTTCCTCCTTTGAAACTGTTGCATAGAAAAATGAAATGCAATAAACTGGCTGCAACCTGTTGTGGCATGATCACCTGGAATAGGACCGGGGTGGTGAGAATAAGGTGTGTACCCTTGTGAGTCAGCAAATTGTATATTTGTTGTGAGTTATTTACAGTAATTTATTTCTTATATTTGCCAGCGGAGAACGGTTATTCTGGCTTCTTTAAAAATGTACAGTTTGATATAAAAGGGAGTGGTTTTCTAAAATTAATGATAACAGTGTGTCACAATATCGTGAGGGCGCGGTTGAAAGTTTTGGAACTGATACACACCGGGTGCCCGGGTCTTTTAGTACTTCATGACAGAAGATCTTACAAAAATCTTAATGCATATCCCCTTATTATTTTTGAACAAACAAAGTTACCACTGCTAAAATGTGCTTTATTTCGGCAGGCGTCAGCCGGGGATTATAGTGCAGCTCTAAATGCATGCAAGTGAATAAACAGAGTTCCTATACACACGTGATATTCAAAATGGAGAATAAAGAGAGTGCAATCCATCCAGCCATCCATCATCTTCATCTGGATCTAAAGTCAAAGCTCCCACAGTCGCCCAAATGCGTCATCTAGTGGATAAAATTTGACATTGACGAGCTTGTTTTATAGAGTTGAGATAAACTAAAATTAGAGCGGATTACAATTACTGTGCAAAACGGGGGAAAAGGTTATTTGTGTTTTGTTGTCAGACATATTCCGATCCATACAGAGATTTAAAAAGAATCTCCCCCAGTTTAAATCTCAACTCAAAACCCATCTGTTCAAATCTGCATATTCACTGTGAACCCACTGTTTGTTAATTTTATCTTGTGCTTTTGTTTTATTGTTCTTCATTTTGTCATTTTTCCATTATGTGTTTTATCTAATTGTAAAGTGTCCTTGGGTGCATGTCTTGAAAGGCGCTTAATAAATTAAAAAAAATGTTGTTATTATTCTTATTCTTATTCTTATTCTTATTCTTATTCTTATTCTTATTCTTATTCTTATTCTTATTATTATTAAAAGAAAAGAAAAGAAAAGAAAAGAAAAGAAAAGAAAGAAAAGAAAGAAAAGAAAGAAAAGAAAAATGGACAAGAAATGAAAATAGGTTTTAGAAACAATTTAGTTCCCGGATATCTCGTTTGGACTTTTACCATTTCATCGTCATCCTTTTCCTACTGGTCCACAGTCACCAGATCCCAATCCAACAGAGTAGCTTTGGGGTGCAGTGGAAAGAGAGATTCACAACATAGATCACACATCTACTGTGTGATGTTGTCATGGAAATGCAAAAATCTTTGAGGAACGTTTCCAGCACATTGTTGAATTTATGCCATGAAGAATTAATGCAGTTATGAAGGTAAAAGGATGTCCAACTTAGTACTAGCAAGTAATGAAGTGGCCAACCTAATCAAGTGGCCAATGAGTGTTTATTGCACTGCATATATGCAATTCATGTACATATGCATGGCAACATCTGTTTATTTTGACTATATCATGTCTCCCTGTCCTTAAATAATATTTGTTGACATCTACAAATATAGTTTTTAGGAATCCCATGAAAATCGAGCGACCTGGTGTGGCACTTTATGAGGTACTTTTTTTATTAAAAAAAAAAAAAGTATAATAGAATTGTGAGTATAATCTCACAAAATGGTACAGAAGAGAAAGTTATGGCAATAGAAAATGAACTCATGAGTGTATAATTAAATAAGAATAAACAAATAAATACATGAATTATATCATTAAATAAAACAACTTTGACTTATTAGAGGAGTGGAGGATTGTATTACATTGTCTTCACAGTTGTTTGTGTATCTATTATTATATTATACTTTTCAAATTAAGATAAACAATAATTTCCAATCACCTTGAAGCATTAGTAACATGTCCCACATTGTCCCACACAAACGCTCTCTCTGAGCTATATTTAGTTTCTTGGGTTCTTGTTGTCCTGCATATGCATCCTCTAAATTATGTATTCCTGACAACTTTTTTTTCAAAAGATTCTTAAAGTGATTTTTCTGACTTAGAGAGTAATTTCTTGCTTTTCATGCTGATGAGATCTGCGGTAGTTAATTAGGAGTTCGTTTAGGTTATTTGTAATGTGTTGACACGGCACTGGTTCGTGTCTTACATTGGGTCTTCATAGCTCAACGTTAAGTTAGTCTGAAGGACTAAAAATAAGTGAAAAGTCAGTCACCGTGCAAAGGAAAACTTCAAAATACCCTCATAAAGCCTGGATTGCTCAAGACTAATTCAAAAATATTAATAACAACAATTCAAGAAAGTCTCGCTCCTTGGAAGCAAAATTTATAGAAATCACGGTGAGTGACGCAGTAGATTAAGTAGTAGCGGAACAATATGATATCTGCCCTCTTTGTTTCAGCCGAACAGTTTTCACAGTAACACAAAACAATCCCAACAGTGGTGGATGGATGTGCGGTAGGGTATAATATCAAGGCTTTATATTTAACTTTAGTCAGGCTATAATTTGTCTCTGGTCGGTGTCTTTGTATGGCAAACACTGGTGTTAAGCTTGAAGTGAAGCAAGATTACGCTCCCTGTCTGTTTGAAGCTAACTGAGGAGTTAGCTAGAATGCTAACATGATGCTCAACCCGTCAGTCGGTCTACCAGATGACCGAAAGTCCTTGTACCCTCAGTCCCAAAGTAGTGCATACAAATGCGGCGACAAAACCAGCCCTATTAGCGTCATACTGGTTAGCTCTGGAAGCCGAGGGAACAAACTCCTTTTCCGATATCCCTACCAAAAGGTCGCTGAGTGTCCGTCATCTCTCTCAGGTAGGCGTAGCATTAGCACGAAGCAGAAACATAAACATAAACATAAACATTTACGCACACACAGATAACCCGGTGTCACTTCCACGTAATTACATATTTACAGGAGATAATAAAGCAGCATCACAACAGATTGTCTTTTTTTCTTTCTTTTTTTTTTTTTTTTGAGGATCGGGTCTGCTTGTTCTTCTTTCTTGAAGTTTCCCTCTTGGCCTCTCAGATTGTTGTTGGTGGATGTGCCACATAAATTTGATGCACTTTTGTTCATTCACAAGTTCCTCTTGCTGCTAGTGTTGCGCCAAAAAGTCATTGCAGTTGTTTCTGTGTGTCTTTTATGCCTAATAACCTTTCTTATAATTGGAAATAGGCTGCAGTCAAAAAGATTTCCGAACAGGATTTTATATAAAATAAAGCATTTACTTGATTTGCCAGTATCTGGATGACTCAGCGTTATTGCACCTACTCTGTGTTCTAGATCAGGACTGGCCCAGGTTTCTCTTAAAAATGCATTTTAATGACACTTTTTACCGGGATAATTCAAAGATATATAAAAGTTCTACCTTGTGATAGGACTGTTCTTTCTCGCTCAGAATGACGTCATATCATTCATGAGCGATATCTTTGAGACTGTAGGCCATGAAGTTATTTACAGCAGTTTAAATACCAGCAATTGTGTTTTTGGCAAATACTGGCACAGTACTGATGCTGAGAGGCTTTTACTAGGAACAGGGACATGAACTAGGACAGTAAAAGCATGTGTCTCTCTAACACAATTTTATGATCAGTGAGTCGAAGTCAGATTCACAGTGCTTCTTATTTTTGTTATGAGTCTAATATGTATTTTTCATAATGACTAACTCTCACTGATATCTGTCCACAAGCAAAACAGCGGAATCCATATGTGCTGAACACATCTGGGGATGAGCTTGATGACCAGGATGGTGATTCAAGGTATTTCTACAATCTTCATTTACTTTTTTTATGTATTATTCAACTTACTGTTTCATTCTGAGATCCAAATGAGCTTATTAAGCTCATTATGTTTTCCTCCATCATGCTTGTAATCTTTTTCCCCCATCTAGACACACTTTTTGTTTTTCAGCAATATTATAGATGCTGACACACATTTTAAATCAGTGGTTCTCAAACTGTCGGAGAGTGTGGATTACCAGGAAAAACTATTAGGTTAAGCTATTAGGTTATTGAAAACATTGAGCTGTTGAGAACCACTGATTTTAATTAATTGTGTGGATGACCTTTAATAAACTTTATTAAACTGATAAAATAATTGAGTAAAACAGTTAAGTATATGATATATATTTTTTAAAACAAAAACGTTCACCTCACTTTGTACCTAATATTTGTCACAGCCCGAGGTGCTGTTTGGATAGACTCACTTTTCCCAGCTGCTAAGAGATACACTCACTGGCCACTTTATTAGGTACACCTTACTAGTAATGGATTGGACCCATTTTCCATCTGTTTAAGGTTTGATGTGATGTGCTTTTAGCTACGCTCTTCTGCATGCCTTGGGTCTAAGCTCAAAATAGTTTGTCCATTCTCCTTTGTCTTCTGGCACCAACAAAGCATTTTCACCCACAAAAGCACCACTTACTTAACATTTTCTCGGTTTTAGACCATTCTGTGTAAATGCTAGAGTTGGTTATGCAGGTTGACTTGACTCTGTGCATGCCTAAATGCAGTGAGTTGCTGCCATGTGATTGGCTGATTAGATATTTGCATTAACAAGCAGTTGAGCAAGTGTATGTAGTATAGTGGGCAGTGAGTGTATGTAACCCCTTAATGTGTATCTTAAGATAGGGCTGTTCGATATAACGATATATATCGGATGAC